ATCGTGTCACTAAAGTAAGAAAGCGAATTCGGATCGTTTTCTTTTGAAACTTACACTCGTATTCACAAACGATGCTCGCTTAAGTGAAGCAGCAACGCTTTGCGAAATCGAACGCACAGCGTTGATTAGAGCTCTGTGATTGGTTCGTTCGTGTGTGACACCTCGCCATTCTATAAATAGGTATTTAGGACCCTGTGTTCAAATAAGTATCACAGTCATTGCCTAGACTCTAACCAAGGCAGCAATTGTAAATGCCGACTGAAAATAAGAGATATGAGTTATCTACCTATCCCTTAACTTAAAAGTATTACGTATTCTGTGTTGGTGAAGGTCAATAATGCTTGGCCTAAATACCTCAGAGAGGATTACCTTCTCACAAAGTTATGAGGCGACCGCAGCAACAAAATCCGGTCAATAATTAATAAGGGTTTAAACTAGGCTCAGTTAAACCTTGATTATAAAGTTAGTTCAGCAGTAAGCCGCTAACCACAGCACCTAGAACTTTAGGGTTCGTTCCGGCGGTTTTGTAAGCATCTCATTTACATTTTAACACCGGCGAGTACCTTTTTGTTAAAATTATATTATTTAATTATTCTACACCTAACACCATTCGTAACTTCAAACTCAAATGCAGAAATACTCTTCAACATGATAACGACATCATGATTTTTCGTTAGTCAGTTTTCTGTTAAATTTTGGTAATTCATTCATGATTTGCATTTTTTATTGTCTAGTAAACTACAGAGATGGCTTGATAGGATAGATAGAAGTACCGATTTTGGCCATCTTAACACCGTTTTGGCCAACTTTACACAGTTTTTAGCCATTCTAAATTATGAAATTACAAAATTATATTGATCTTCAGTAACTTATGAAATATTTTTTATATTCTATCCTTCATGACGTACTTAATATCTTGTAGGTACTTTTACAACAAACTAAAACAGCGCCACCCTTTCCCGGCCAATCAAAAATTTACCTCAAGCCTAATCCTGACCCTGACAGCGACCCTTTTCAACCGCAGCCGAGAAAGACAACCGGGCTAGGATGCGCACCGTGATAAAATCTTATCGATGATTTGACGACAAACCTATGGGCTTATCGCGTAAAATCGTAAAATGCCGCGATAAAATCTTATCGCGGCGCACATCCTAAGCCTACTGAACGAGATCACTGTTAGCGGAAAATCCCTGCCGTAAATCTGATGGTTTTTAAGTAAGGCCACGATTAAATCTTATCGACAATTTCAGATTTTGGCTTTAGGATTATGCGTTTATCATCTAAAATCGATAAAATGCGTTGATATCGTGACGCGCAGCTTAGCTTAGCCCTGCTGTGTGCTAAATTGGTTGACTAATCACGTAAACTTTTTGAGAATGTATTACATGTATCCTATAATGTAACATAATAATTCCATACACCTGGCAGCCGTGACGTCACATCGACGCTCTGGTACGGATGGGGCAACGCGGGGAGGTGTGCCGGAGAGTGCGAGGGTGAGTCGCATTCTAAAGTCCAGTTTGGGGTCATTGGACGAAATTCTATCTGCTCGGCGGCCAGAGTTTGGCGAGGTGCTTTGTAGTATGCGCGTCACGCACGCACACACTCACATCCCTTACATAGTATATAAGGTTATTCACTATTAATAAATGGGCTCTTAATACGCAGTCAGTCTACTTATTTAATCGTCCCAACGCCCAACGTTGCATGGCGACCCTGCCAGTGCTGCTCACGCAGCATTGCGCAGATGGTTTAGTAGAAAATATTAAAATTAATTAAAATAATGTTAAACAATGTTGAAAATGTAGTGAAAAGTGGACTCGTAAAAATGGACTAAAATTGGACTTAATTAATAAATCTTCAATAAAATTATCGAACTAAAAATAAATGCGTACGTGAAATAGAAATAACAGTGCCAAAAACCAAGAATTTCCTGATCCTGATCAAGATGCAAGAAAACGGACCGAATTGGATAAGCTGGGCGCCGGGCGATGATGGAGTCAGATGAGGTAACATCAGTGTGCTGGGAGCCGGGCGATGATGGAGCCAGATGAGATTGACAGAAGTTAGCAGGGTGCCGGGAGTGTTCGTGTCGGAAGTGGTTGCAGCCGGGAGAACCCTACCTACATCATGATAAGTCCCCGTGCAGAAATCCCCTTGTGCCCCATGAAGAAAAGTCCTCTTGTCCTCTTCAAAAATAGGTCATCATTCTATGGTAAAATATTTTTGTCATTTATTAAGTATTATCATTTAAATTCTGGAGATTAATTTAAATATTGACTGCTAATTTATTGGTTTAATTTGAGATATGATTTTTTTTTTAATAATTTCGTAACGTTTTTTTAAAGAAAATTATTTTTGTGAGAATATTTTTTATAGAAATATTGAATGTACTAGTTTACTTAATTTTAATTTACAAAATTGCAATTTTATATACTTAAAGGAATAAATAATAGAATTCGATATTTTTATTGAAGATGTGACACATATTAATATTTGATTTTATGTTAGAAATTTAAATTTAAAATAACGTTGTTGACGACTTATTTAGTAAATTTTATTGATAACATATTGCTACTGAATATGAAAATACTGAATAATATAAAATAATAATAATTGGCATAATATTGTAATATTTTTTTAGGAATTAATTATTTTGAATATTTTGGTTCTAACACCACCAGTGATATTTTACATTCTCATTTTGGTAGATTTTATTTGATTATGATTTATTTACATTACTTAGATGTTCCAATTCGCATTTTAAAATATTTAATTTTCTAAAAGTAGGTCAATGATTTTGTTACTCAGTCATGTCATTGCACTCGACGCATACGCTTTATTACAAATCAGCAAAACGTGATTTAACATCACACACGTTATGATGACACGTAGGTATTTTCTAGCGTATCGACACAATACTTCGCTGTAATTAAGAATTTTACATTTTAAACAATAATTGTATTTGGTATGCAAGTAAATATTTTAAATCAGTGTCATATTTGTAGACTTTTAAGACCACCAAGATCACATTTCTAAATATGGATCTTTAACAAAATCATTAATTAGGATTATTGATTGGATTTAACTTTGAAATACATAAAACAATCTTTTTACATTTTTTTTTCACGGTCAAGTAATGTAATTAATTAAAATATTTATGTAATGATGAAATAAAGAATTTGATGATTGCTATGTTGAAAAATATTTTGCAAAATGTAGGTAAAATATCACTTGGCTGACTTATCGATTGCCGATTTATTTGGGTCAACACACAACAGATTATTGCACAATGACTTACTGTAAGTGTAATGTAAGTTCTTGACTATGAACGTAATAATTTAACACAAATGCTATTTGTTTTGTTTTGTTTTAATTATGATTTTATTACAGTATATTCAGTTATAGTAAATGACTTATTATGTAACTAGAAATTATTTAATAACTATGAAATGGAAAATATAATTACACGGATAAGACGATAATAATAATAATTTGATTATAAATATGACAGAATGTAATTTATACATTGTATAAAGTTAATTAACTTATTGTGAGTTTAGAAAACTGTAGGCAGAGGAATGTACGTTAATGTTATTAAATGATGAAGGTTATGAGATAAAGGTTTGTTGTTATAATGCAGGTTTTGGTTTGAAATTCAGATAGGCAAAGTTATAAAATAGTTTGATATTGTTTGTAAAGATGAGCTAAAGTTAGGCATGCATTAATTGCACAGGATACTTTTGATTATTTTGGACTGATCACCGAAAAGTTTTAAGATATTCTTGTGTATTGATTGTGTAGGTTTGTGAGATTGTAAAGTATTTTGTTAGATATTGAATGAATATTGAAATATTATATGAATATTATGTAAACATGGTACTAAAATAAATAATATTAAGGGGAATTATCCTTCGTTCGATCATGGTGCATACTAGATATCTCTGTGAGAATAGTTGGAGACATTATAAGTCTTAAATTTATCCCTTAATTTAAATGATTATTATAAATAAATATTATTATAAAGTGCGCGCACATTTTATAAAAGTACCATGATGTGATAAAATGAATTAAGTCGACTATAAATAAATAAATAATGACTTGTAAGTGTAGTAGATCTACTAACTATTAAAACATGAGGGTGGCCACCTCATAAGAATTGTTGATGTACTTATCTCGGAAATGGAAACTTTAATGGATATGACTACTAGTACGAAATACTTGGATGTGACTTTATTTTTAATATGAATGAATATTACATAAAAATAATATTGTTTAAACAGTTTAAATAGTCGTCAACAACACGTTTAGTTAAGATTTTTAATTGTTATGGATATTTGATACCACTAATTTAAATCTTTCGCAATGTGTTTTAAATTATCATTTATGTTTATTTTTAATATGGCCAATCTCACGTTTTTTTTAATCATTATTGAGTGGTGTCAAGTACCCAATTTTGTAGTCTTATTTTTTTTTTTTCATTATACATATTTCTCGTACGAAAAAAAAAAAAACAAAAAAAAACGGGGGAGGTGTAGTATGCGCGTCACGCACGCACACACTCACATCCCTTACATAGTATATAAGGTTATACACTATTAATAAATGGGCTCTTAATACGCAGTCAGTCTACTTATTTAATCGTCCCAACGCCCAACGTTGCACTATAAACTGAGGTATTTCATTAATAACTGAAGTAAAGTATTGTTATAAGGCCTGGTTCAGACACGGCGATGATCGCACGGTTGCTGGGCAGTTCTTGTACATTTGCATCAAATCGTAAAGGTACGGTTCCCACTTCAGTGCCTCACCAATGAGAACCACCCAGAAACCGCACGAGTCTGTACCAGGCCTTAAATAAATAAAATCTTTAGTGAGATTTACAGTTTTTTAAACTACTTATGATATAAAAGTTAAGATTTTGCTTGCGCCTGATTTAGGTTTTCCTACAAGAAATACATCTCCTGAGATACAGTTCAGGCGAAAAAAAAAATCCTTACCCTCGGTCGTGTGTCGACGACATACATATAACCACAGTTGGGGTTCGCTCGCCGGATCAAGTCCAGCATCTGTTCGTCTTCCATGCATCTGTGGAAACAATAAAAACAATAATTTAACTATCTAATTACGTAGCATTTGTGTTATTGCAACATGAACAGGAGTGCTAAACATTTTATTATATACTAGCTTTTGGTCACGGCTTCGCACTGTTATAGTAGGACTTTATCGCGCCCGAGTTTCCCTTTGGAAAACCACGATAAAGTCTCAAAATATCTATAAAAACTAAAACGCAGTTAGCAGAGAACCTGCTGAGAGTAAGTACTGTACTAAAGACTGTAACGTACATAGCAGAGAGTCCACTGGGAGTAAGTAGATACTGTACTAAGGACTGTGACCTGGCCGGAACCTGCTGAGAGTGAGTACTGTAGTGAGAACTGTGACACACCTAGCAAGAGAGCCCATAGAGCAGGGATGGCGAACCTTTAAGTATCAACGTGCCACTATTCTAAAAAAATGTTTTTGAAGTAGTCATAGACACGTGCCATTAAATTAACACCTAATGCTATCAAGTGGCACCACTGGCGAGTGACACAACCTTACTCTACAGTGGCACTAACTGATGACGGCAAATACGATAGCTCATAATCAAAACACATTATTTACTATTGAATTACTGAATTTGTGTTTGATGGCGTGCCCAAAATATTATGTCGCGTGCCATCATTGGCACGCGTGCCATTGGTTCGCCAACCCTGCCATAGAGAGTAAGAACTGAAGTAAGATTTGTGACACACCTAGTTGAGAATCCACGAGGAGACTGGCTGCAGCGTCATTGTCGCATTGTAGCAAGTACTACAACGCTTTGAGTAGCCGTGCTATACGGTTGGAAACGACGAGAAGACGAAAGCTGCCACGAGAACCGGTACCCTGCTCTTGCAGTGTTTGTCAGGTCAGCGTTTTCGCCTGGTTGCGCTAGCTCTTACTCACTTAGAGGCTGGCTGCCAAAGAGTAATGTAATTACTTGGCTTGCAGCATTACTGTCGCAGACTAGAAGTACTAAAGGCTTGCCAGGTCATAGCTGGCTCACTCACCCAGAGAACCCGCTGCAGCGTATTTATCGCCGACTATAACAAGCGTTCTGGACTATAAAGAGACCTAGACCTATATTGTTACGCACCAAGCTGAGATTTTTTTTACGTCGGAAAATGCTTTGCGCATACCCTCTGGTTGATGGGGACGGCCAGTGGGTTAGGTATGTAGGACTCTCCCCGCCTCAACCAATCAATCAATTATATCAATCAAAAATATTTTATTCAATTTAAACCACACACCCACTAAAACCCGATGGTTTCAACCAGAGCCAAAAGAAACGGAGCCGCGAGTTATTGTCCTAGTTTAAACATTCGTCCACAGCTCCGCCTCAGGCTAGCTAGAGGCTCGAGGAACCCCCAATCCCCTCCTCCAGTTGTTTTTTTATAGAGGTAGACCTATATTGCTCACCTAGCAGAGAATCCGCTTAGAGGCTGGCTGCAGCGCGCGATGGCCGCTTTATTGTGGTGCAGATACGCCAGCGCCGGCAGCCGGCTGCGAGATTGTGACGTAGTAAGGACTGCCACGCAACTAGCAGAGAACCTGCTGTGACTGTAGCAAGGACTGTGACGTACCTAGCAGAGAACCCGCTTAGAGGCTGGCTGCAGCGCGCGATGGCCGCTTTGTTGTGGTGCAGATACGCCAGCGCCGGCAGCCGGCCCAGGAATGTCGTAGAGAGTGTGATGAGAGAACCTGCGGCCTAGAAACCTAGCAAAGAACCTGCTGAAACTGTAGTAAGAACTGTAACGCCTATCTAGCAGGGAACCTGATAAGAGCCTGGCTGCAGCATTATTGTCGCAGACTGGAAGTACTAAAGGATTGCCAGGTCTTCGCTGGCTTACTCACCCAGAGAACCCGCTGCAGCGTATCTATCGCCGACTATAACAAGCGATCTGGACTATAAAGAAGCTCTGCCTCAGGCTAGAGGCTCTAGGAACCCCAATCCCCTCCTCCAGTTGTTTTTATAGAGCCTATATTGCTCACCTAGCAGAGAACCCGCTTAGAGGCTGGCTGCAGCGTGCGATGGCCGCTTTGTTGTGGTGCAGATACGCCAGCGCCGGCAGCTGGCTGCGAGATTGTGACGTAGTAAGGACTGCCACGCAACTAGCAGAGAACCTGCTGAAACTGTAGTCAGAAAGAACTGTGACGTACCTAGCAAAGAACCGACTATTATCGCCGACTATAACAAGCGATCTTGAGAAAGTAAGGGACCTAGACCTATATGATGTAAACCCATTTTCGCAAAATAAATGATTTGATTTGATTTGATTTGATTTGATATATTACGCACCTAGCAGAGAACCCGCTTAGAGGCTGGCTGCAGCGCGCGATGGCCGCTTTGTTGTGGTGCAGATACGCCAGCGCCGGCAGCCGGCCGCGGGATCTGAAGCTGGTACTATAACGCACCTAGCAGAGAGCCTGATGTGACTGTAGTAAAAACTGTGACGCAGCTAGCAAAGAACCGACTATTATCGCCGACTATAACAAGCGATCTGAGTAAGTAAGGGACCTAGACCTATATTACGCACCTAGCAGAGAACCCGCTTAGAGGCTGGCTGCAGCGCGCGATGGCCGCTTTGTTGTGGTGCAGATACGCCAGCGCCGGCAGCCGGCCGCGGGATCTGAAGCTAGTACTATAACGCACCTAGCAGAAAGCCTGATGTGACTGTAGTAAGAACTGTGACGCACCTAGTAAAGAACCGACTATTATCGCCGACTATAACAAGCGATCTTGAGAAAGTAAAGGACCTAGACCTATATTGCTCACCTAGCAGAGAACCCGCTTAGAGGCTGGCTGCAGCGCGCGATGGCCGCTTTGTTGTGGTGCAGATACGCCAGCGCCGGCAGCCGGCCGCGGGATCTGAAGCTGGCGCTGCCCAGCAATACGGCGGTCGACGCGCGCGCGGGTACGTAGATCTCACTGGGATATGTATCACACAGCTGGAAAACATCACACCTTTTAAATTAATAAGTCATTTTATTTGTACTATTTTGTACCGCCTACTCAAATTCTCTTTTTTGACTTAACTTTTTGGGTAGCTGGAAGAGAATGCGCCATGGCATTAAGCTCGTCTGTTGTACCGATATTTATTGTGTGTGCAATAAAGATTTTAAATAAATACAACCCGGTCGATTTACACCTGGCGGGCGTGACGTCACATCGTCGCTTCGGTACGGACGGGGCGAACGCGGGGAGTTGTGCGAGTAATAGACTAAGAGCTAGTGAACGCCAGACCTACGTTATTTTATAAAGGCTGAAATCATCAACATGAGATGATGATTAACAGACTCAAATACTTGAGTAACTTAAGAAAAAGTACAAAAAACCATATTTATAGTGCCTCGCGTTCGCACTTTCAGCCACCCTAAAAGTTGTCTGGCAAGGCGAAGGAACCATCAGAAGTGTCTGGCTGATGAGGAAACTTCATCAAATGATAGTTCAAATATTTTATGTAAATATCAGCTTTTATAGTATGACGTAAGTAGGACTACATTTTCATGAACTTTAAGGTGTCTGGCTAAGGGCTGCCACCATGGTAGGTGTCTGTCAATGAATGACGTCATTTCTAATAACATTTTGAAGGAAATATAAAAAAATCTGCCTTTATACTTTGACGTAATTAAGTTGGTATTTTACACACCTTTAGTACCGCTGTCTGCCAAAGCCACCATGACCCAAACTTCATGTTTGGCCATGGTTCTTAGCTATGTTGGGAGCATGCACTGACCAACTTTCAGCCTTTATAAAATAACGTAGGTCTGGCGTTCACTAGCTCTTAGTCTATAAGTGAGAGGGAGAGTCGCATTCTAGCGAGGTGCGCAGTTAGCTAAATAAGTTGTGATTGGCCGAAAGGTCTCACAGTGATAAGTTAATAGAATTTCTTTAAAAAACAGCAATCATAATAACTTAGTAAATATTTGCCAATGGCCTCTTACTCATACGAGTAGATTTTGTGCATCTTTACAAATTATTGTATTTGACATTTACACACTGACATTGACTTTTTCACAATTATGTAAGTAATTTACTTTTTCATTCAAGTCATGCCAGTATCAGTGTACTGATTCTTAAGAGTCCCCCGACGCCTTGTGTATGTTAAGCGTTAGCAAGTTTAAATTATTAATCTTTTATGGATCTTAAAATAAAGTGACAAAATTAAAGTGTGATAAGACTATACATTTGAAATGTACCTCGTAATCCTTATTTGCTGTGCACAGAACCCATTGCTCGTTGGGGACGTTCATCCTCTGGAACTCCGTCTGTATGTCGAAGAAGTTCCACCCGGCCGACTTCGGGAGGTCGTCTGGAGTGGACTTGTAGTGGAAACAGTACAGCTCGTCTATGTGAACTGAAAAGAGAATTTAGCAGTTAAAAAACAGAAAGGTCGTCGGTGCACCCACCCTGTGGGTGGACGTCCTAAGCTTCGCTTTTCGGTACGTGGCCTCCAGTCCAGAACCTGCTGCCCCATCAGTCGTCAGTTCTGCGTACTATATGCCCTGCCCATTGCCACTTCAGCTTGCTAGCCCGTTGGGCTATTTCAGCGACTTTAGTTCGTTCACTTAAAGGTAGCGGGAGGGCACTGGATGCAGGCCGCCACCAATTAGCCATTGTGGAAACCATTGGGGGAGGCCTATGTTCAGCAGTGGATGTCCTATGGCTGAAATGATGATGATGATGAAAGAGAAAGATTATTTAGAGAAACTTGATCCTTCAAGGCTCCTAAAAGCGCCACCGTTAAATCTCCGAAAATAACATATTTTTGACCCTTTAACATCATCATCAGATCATTTAGTCTCCACAGCAGGAGCACGACGCTCTTTAATTTACCAAAAGCAAATGAAGGATTTGGCCTCCATTTCCCAGGTTGACCAAACGGGATGGGGTGTCCTGAAGTTCGCATACTTGTCCTTTAGTAGAGTGAGGGTCATTCTATTCTTCTCTGCTCACACACAGCTCATTCATATCCATCTTTGCTATCACTTACTTTAAGATTATCCTTATTAATCCGGATTGAAGAAATTACGATTATAACCAATACAGAGCAATAAAGTTGAAAATGGTTCTCAAAATTGACAAACCTGGTTGACTCAGCCTGAGAAGCGTCTGGTGCATTTCATGGCAGTCCCGCTCCCGTGGGATGACGAAGAACACAGACTGGAACGTCTTGGTGCGGACCAGGAGTGGCGAACCAGTTGTGGTGATCGGCAGTCGCTCCACTGATGATATGTGCATCAGGAGTATCTGGAAATAAACCTCTAGTAAGCCAGGGGAATATCATATTAAGAAGGAAATGTCACAGGTTACCCAATAGTAATTTTTTTACGCCGTGCGTCATATCAACATTTTTAAACAAAAGACGCCCAAAGCTGAGCAAAGGGATCCTCCGATTTTCATAACTACAGGTCCTGCGCTCCGCATCCAGGTGTTTGCGACCTTCATCTAAGAGTTACTTGGTATAAATTATCTATTTATTTATTTAGGACAACCAACAAGACAGACACAAGTACAAGCAGAGGGGTTTACATACATATTTTTCTTAGGACTAGGTGCTATCTTAATTACATTAATTATAAATACTTATTCAAAACATGGCTGTCCTATTCCTATTTCATTGTAAGTTTTTTTAATGGGACAGCCAAACTCTGTTGCTCACACGTTCAAAACATTTTTATAGAGCTACAAGTTGAAACTAATTCTTCCCCATCGCAAAACAAAGGCGAACTTTTAATACAATTCTTTATTTCGTGTAGCCGTAAATAACAATGTCGCTTGTGACTAGGGCTACCAACTGTTCTGATTTTTAGGACAAAAGTGGTTTCAAACAGACTTTAGTCCTAGAGACTATAAGGGGCTTAAAAAGGCGCCTGATAGAATACTGCTGCCCTATAAAATTGATTGATTTCAATGCTTGATATGTTTGTTTTCAGAGATATTCATACAATTTTATTGGCGCCTTAAATGCAACGTTTTGAACTAAACACTCAGGCGTAAACTTGCGCACAGCCATTTGTACAAAAAAACGCCACGTATTTATGAGTTAGAATTCTTTTGAAGAGTATTTTAATACTGGAATGTATTTGAATGCAATCACAACTGACGATTTAGATTAGATTGAGAGAGTAAGCCTAGGCGCAGACCATCGATTTTTCGTCGGCCGATAGTTTAGTCGGGCAGTTGATCAGTATGGGCATGCATGGAAGTGCGCACATTACACCGATTCGATTTAGCCGATTCTTCATACAATTTTAAATCGGGCACAACTATCGGCCAACTAAAAATTGGTGGTCTGCGCCTAGTCTAAGAGAGATTATTTCCTAAACGGTAGCCCTGTTTACGTCCAAAGCAACTGTCAAGTGAAAATTTATATCCGACAGGAGGTGGCAGTAATTTAGACAATTTGTAGTCTGTCCGCTGCGCCGCGCCCGTGGATAAATCTACTTAATCCAGTCACCGTTTCAATGTCATTCGGGACATACAGGCTCCCCTTCTGACATGAATCGTGTCACTAAAGTAAGAAAGCGAATTCGGATCGGTTTCTTTTGAAACTTACACCCGTATTCACAAATGATGCTCGCTTAAGTGAAGCAGCAACGCTTTGCGAAATCGAACGCACAGCGTTGAATAGAGCTCTGTGATTGGTTCGCGTGTGTCAATCTGCCACTCAAGTATTGTAGACTCTAACCAAGGCAGCAATTGTAAATGCCGACTAAAAATAAGAGAGGTGAGTTACCTATCCCTTAACTTAAAAGTATTACGTATTCTGTGTTGGTAAAGGTCAATAATGCTTGGCCTAAATACATCAGAGAGGATTACCTTCTCACAAAGTTATGAGCCGACCGCAGCAACAAAATCCGGTCAATAATTAATAAGGGTTTAAACTAGGCTCAGTTAAACCTTGATTATAAAGTTAGTTCAGCAGTAAGCCGCTAACCACAGCACCTAGAACTTTAGGGTTCGTTCCGGCGGTGTTGTAAGAATCTCATTTACATTTTAACACCGGCAAGTACCTTTTTGTTAAAATTATATTATTTAATTATTCTACACCTAACACCATTCGTAACTTCAAACTCAAATGCAGAAATACTCATCAACATGATAACGACATCATGATTTTTCGTTAGTCAGTTTTCTGTTAAATTTTGGTAATTCATTCATGATTTGCATTTTTTATTGTCTAGTAAACTACAGAGATGGCTTGATAGGATAGATAGAAATACCGATTTTGGCCATCTTAACACCGTTTTGGCCAACTTTACACAGTTTTTGCCCATTCTAAATTATGAAATTACAAAATTATATTGATCTTCAGTAACTTATGAAATATTTTTTATATTCTATCCTTCATGACGTACTTAACACGTTGGACGCCACGCGGCTCACCGGTGAGCCTCGAACAATACAATTTCCATTGTGTCCAGCGTCTCGGCGTTCAATGACTTAATATCTTGTAGGTACTTTTACAACAAAACTAAAACAGCGCCACCCTTTCCCGGCCAATCAAAAATTTACCTCAAGCCTAAATCCCGACCCTGACAGCGACCCTTTTCAACCGCAGCCGAGAAAGACAACCTGCCGGGCTAGGATGCGCACCGTGATAAAATGTTATCGATGATTTTGACGACAAACTTATGGGCTTATCGCGTAAAATCGATAAAATGCCGCTATAAAATCTTATCGCGGCGCACATCCTAGGCCTCCTGAACAGTTAGAGGCAATTCCCTGCCGTAAATCTGATGGTTTTTAAGTAAGGCCACGATTAAATCTTATCGACAATTTTAGATTTGGGCTTTAGGATTATGCGTTTATCATCTAAAATAGATAAAATGCGTTGATATCGTGACGCGCATCTTAGCTTAGCCATGCTATGTGCTAGATTGGTTGACTAATCACATAAACTTTTTGAGAATGTATTACATGTATCCTATAATGTAACAATAATTCCATACACCTGGCAGCCGTGACGTCACATCGACGCTCTGGTACGGATGGGGCAACGCGGGGAGGTGTGCCGGAGAGTGCGAGGGTGAGTCGCATTCTAAAGTCCAGTTTGGGGTCATTGGACGAAATTCTATCTGCTCGGCGGCCAGAGTTTGGCGAGGTGCGCACTTAGCTTGATCGGGTTGTAACATAAAAGTCTGAGAAATACATACCCATGTCTCCTTCCTCATCTCATGGTCGACGAATATGAGGTGTGTGGTGGCGAAGTACAGCGTGCCCTTCGACGGGTTCCGCAGGTTGTATTTGTCCAGGAGCTGCACGTTCTCCAACTGAAACAATAAAGTACAATTTATTTATTTAAGCTTTAATGCCATAATAATAATGTGCGAACTTAATGCCATAAAGGCATTCCCTGCCAATTTACCTCCGGGCTAAGCAGAAAAAAATTCGAGCTAGAGAGTAAATGAATTGAAGCAATCATGTAGAATTATAGAGTTAGGACAGATTAGCCCATTTATTGTCCTGAAGCAGTGATAGGGTTAATACTGGGACGTGTAATGACGACCTAGACCTTTTACGTCATAATAATTTAAAAAATCCAGAGAATTTCAGCGAGCGCGGTACAATTTTAATAAAACTCAAAACATCATTATCATGCCCTTCAAAACGTATGCGCATATTCCAACAATGCCTATTTCGACAAAAATACTTTTATAGCGAAGGAATTCCGACTAGGAAGTATGCGCGCAAACTTTCGCACGGGCCGCCAATAAAAGGGGCTAATTTTCCACCACTTCACAGCTACGTGGAAGGGAGGCAGAGTTTGGTGCAAGTCACTAGCTTATAATGTTAGGATGAGCACCACGATAAACTTTTATAGCGGTATTTTATCGATTTAATTGTCGATAAGATTTTATCATGGCGCGCATCCTAGCCCGGCTGCAGGTCTCGGTATCGTTGATCAATCAAATCGCCTTATGGTAAAACGAATCAAACAAATAATAGTCTTTAAATATGACGCACACGTTTTTAAAAAACCTAATCGAATTTGATGTTTTCAAAACTCATCAACCAACGAGTGATACTCAAATGTGTATGAAATATGAGATAATGACCATCTAAGCTCATGGTCTGCGCCAAGCCACAATGATACTATGTATTTGGAGCGAAATGCAAAACAGACCCTACAGCATGTCCTGTTTATTCCCTCAGTCTTTTTATTAAAATTGAGATTTATTCCTTTTCCTTACACTGGATTGAGGTCGTGATATGAATTTCAAGGAAATCAGGCCGACCATAATTTGAAAACGAAACCGAATTTGAATAAGAAAATAAACGAAAAATACACCCGCTTGGCCTTCGGAATTATTCCCAAGTGTCATTCCCATTCCCACCATTTCAATCTGCTGCTGGAGCCAGGATCTACAGCTTGACCGCCAACACAAACCCAACCAGTAAAAGCCAGTTTGTCCCGGGGAGAAAGTTAAACTGTCATTGCACCCGCAACGAAATTAATCAGAAGAACATAGGAGGAGTTCGAAATTAAAGATCGACTTCCCTCCAGTGCAAAGCGAATGACAGGTGACAAACCAATTTAAGAAACTTTAAAGAAAAGGCCACTAGGCCAATATGTAGCACTTAGCTATACGCCACTTGCGGTTCGAATCCCACAAGTAGTGGACAAACAAACGAATGTTAGTGTATAACAAAACCACCTAGACTGAAAAAAGGAAATCTATCCATAGTTGCTTGCTTATCTGGACAATTTATTATTGATTATTAAGTATAATGATTTACAAGCTTTGGACTGATAAGATAAGATAAGAAAAACTTTATTTGACACAAAAAGAAAAAATAGAACAAAGGAACTTAAAACTATACATGCATATTTTGTGTCAAAAAGGCGCTCGCTCAGCATTAATCGAGCCACGCGTGCATGCACGCGTGCCCCGACGCTGGTTTTCAGCGGGTGCCTCTTCTCCAACCAACATTTAAATTAAAAAAAATAACACTAAACAAAACATTGACAAAGACATTGACAAAGAGGGCGCCACTATCTCTGGACTGACGGGTCATCAGAATTAATATCGAGGTCTAAGGGTCGTTCGTGTTAGTCAAACTTCACTGAATTATTTATTATTCAAAGAGCTTACTACTTAATATTTAATTCAGGGGCACGATTTTCTTTACTTAAAATATCTGTGGAGTTTCCTTGGGCTGCTCGGACGTAAAAAAGTCACGGCTCTATTAGAGTTACACTGTGCTCTAAGGTTGGGAAATCGGCGACCATTTTTAAATGACAAAAGATTAAGAAATTTAAAGTCGTTTATGGCTTTAAATTTTTTAATCCCTTTTCGTTTGGATATTGTTGAAAACTTTCTGTACATTTTACATTTTATTATTTTGTGGTTTGTGTAATAAATATTAATTAACGACCACGTGAACACCAAGTCGCCCCTGCCCCTTAGATGAAAACACACTTTTTTTATCAACATCAACTAAATCGATTTGTTACTCTAAAAAAGTGTCTGCACGTAAAAGTGGACTACAAAAAATACCTACTTGTATAGAATTCCAAAGCGGATGTAAATAGAACCCATCGGCGATTCCCTACTTATTCCCTTTTCTCCCGTTTTTATTGAACTAGCGAGGGGTAAATTGCCTATGCTCGGCCCGATATCCGAATAATATTTCTTTTATCCCACTGGGTCCACATTTCCACAATAACTGTTTAAGGGACGTATCGCCAGAATTCGGCACCTTTCCTGTGAAACCATTTTTGTCAACATTTTGTCTTTTTTCATCACAGCAAAATGACTATTTGACTAGTCGAAAGTTGAACAACAAACTGCAATAATTAATTTTTTCGATATAAAAAAGCTCCAAACACGAATTTTTCGAGTTATAGAATAATTCTTAAAATGATCTTACCTATACACACGCGAAGTTTTTCTAATCTTTCGCCAAACACCCTGTATAGTTATAGCATAACAGTCTAACTATTAGTAGTGCTCTATCTATAAACATAGAATCTAAGCAAATAAGTAGGATTAAATAAAAAAGTCACAACTGTTTTAAAATATCAATTTACACGAAACAAAGTGAATCCATTCGCATGCAATATTTAAAAGCTTTCGCCTCTATTTTTGTACAGCAAAAAGCGACAGTAAAAATATACGAGTAACGTTCGGTACGGCAACTCGATTCATCACGAGTGGGTGCTTCATTTGGCTTTGGCTTTTATAAAAGGGTGGATGGATCGTGTTTCAGAACTTCGGCACATCCATTCATTATTCAGACTGAGAGAATTACATCGAGATTTGTGTGGTTATTTCTTTATATTTGCTTATTTTCTGTTTGATACTGGTACTGGATTAATTTTAAAAAATCAGCGCTTGAATATACTCGTATCTGCCTATTTGCGAGTCAACCAAGTCTCACCCAAATCATATCCATATAGCACGGACGAGTAAAATACGGTAAAGTAATTATTATCTATATACCTATATAAAAGAAAGTCGTGTTAGTTACTTCGCTTATAACTCAAGAAGGGCTGAACCGATTTAGCTGAAAATTGTCAGGGAGGTAGTTTAGAGCCAGGAGAAGGACATAGGATACTTTTTATCCCGTTCGAAATTAAAAAAAAAGTCTGCTTATTTATTGCCATTAAGGCGGAACAAAGTTCGCCGGGTCAGCTAGTGTTTATATAATTTTTATTTAATAAGAGTAAGTTCAAAATAAGCTTTCGATAGGTACCTACTATGATTGATTAGGCATGATTTTCGACCAAAATCATGTCTGATCTTAGTGGGATACCATAACCGTAAATATTAACGTGTATGTTTTAGTAACAGTTCCTTTTTACACACCCTGTATGTTACAAGCATTCATAAACGAAAACCAAAATCACATTAACTCATACGCCACAACGTTAATAGATCCAATTTGTCCGTCAATTCGGTCAATAAAGCAAACGTTCGCGTATAAAAATGGCGTACCGCCAATCAGCTAATCACAGGTGCAATCAGGACAGCCTAAATGTATGGGTAAAAGCCGGGTGCCCTCTCGCCCTGACAGAGACAAATGCGAGCTGGAAAACATTTGGGCCGTGTCATGAGAAATTGACTCCACTTTTAAACAGCGAAGGGGTCTTTTTCTCTTTTTAGTCCAATTTTNCCAATTTCAAGTGATAAGCGATAAGATAAAAGCATTGCAAGGATATTGCAAGATTGACTCTACCTAAAAATGTGAATTGAGTTATCGTAAGGTGAGCGTCAAATAGTCACACCCAAAGTAACCAAAAAGATAGCAAAACCGTTTTGGTATCTTAAAGACGCTTTATTTATTTAATTAAAATGCAAGTGAGCTTACAGAGACTTTTGGCAAAAAGTCTTTGTTACAATTTGAACAAGGTTGTGTTGTCAACTTTTAGGCCACTTTGGACAAGAGGACACGTGATATCATTATTTGGTTTTATAACCATAAAAATTGGTCTAATTGATCCCAGAGGTAAGCCCAAAGTGAGGTCTTTTTTTAAGTCACATTTATTGTATATCGCGTTTATGTTAATCGTTTATTAAGAAATTAAATGTGTTTTTCTTTAAGGTTATTTATTGGGCTTTCAAATAACACCAATATTGTTGGGGCACCATGATTGTGTCAGTAGAAACGAGTTTTCCTGTAAAACGTAGGTGGGCCGATTTTTGTGATGACCAGTGTATTTGACGCATTGGTAAATATTCAAATCTACTGAAATTAAAAACACCTTTATTGCCACAATCAAACTAATTCTATACATAATTTGCTAGTTATTACATTTTTTTCGGTACTCAGCAGTTATAGTCAAATATACGGTACGGCAATGGTAATTAAAAGGGGAAAACCACCTATGACTCATGACAAAATCGCTATGACTTATGATTGTACCACTGCCTACGTCAAGGGCGATAGGCGAGCAAAAAGGAACGATAAGCCAGTCATTTCCATTCCCAGACGATAAAACGAAGAAAATGCTACGGTTTTCGGTATTTTATTAATATTACTTACACGTTTATGAAGATTAGTGTACCCTGAAAGGTATAAGGAGATTATACTTAATGTAGCGAAGCAAATTCGAATAGGACTAAGAGGATTTCGGTATGGATTATGATCCTATTTTCGTAAGAGCTACTAAACATTTCTGATGGTAAGATAGCATTGAGAGAGGAATTAGGAAACAAGGATGAAACAAAATACTAAGTACTTGTTTTAATACAATATCTTCAGGACGAAATTAGAGAGCGAAGTCACCAATATTTTTTCAGTCTTATAGTTTCACTACATAAAATGT